GTGAGTGTGCGGATGCAGGTGTGAACAAGCTTACTGTGCAGCCAGTTGTAGAAAAGTCTAGCATGTACGGTTATGGACAGTACATAATACATGGCAATGAGAAGAATGACTGTTTCTGGTTTCTGTGTCTACTGTATTATACTTTTTTGTATTATTTATTATTTATTTTTGTGTGTGTGTGTGTGTTGGAGTCTCACTCTTTGTTGCCCAGGCTGGAATGCAGTGGCACGCTCACAGCCACCACAGCCTCGACCTGCTGGGCTTAGGCGATCCTTCCGTCTCAGCCTTCCAAGCAGCTGGAACTACAAACGCACACCACCACGCCCGGCTAGTTTTTGTGATTTCTTGTAAAGACAAGGTCTCACCAAGTTGCTCAGGCTGATCTCAAAGCCCCAGGCTCAGGCAATCCTCTCGCCTCAGCCTCTCAAAGTGCTGGGATTACAGGCTGAGCCACCGCGTCTGGCCAGCATTATTTTAAAATGTACTTTTACTTACTAATAAAAAAGTTTTTAGTAGCAGCATCATTTAAGGGAAAAAAAAGTTAACTGCCCAACAGCCTTAGGCAGGTTCCTGAACAGGTGTTCCAGAAGAAGGCGTGTGATCATAGATGAGGGCTCCATGCATGTCATTGCCCCTGAAGATCTTCCAGGTGGAGGACAGTGATATTGATTATCTTGACCTTGTGGAGACCTAGGCTGGTGTGTGTGTGTGTGTCTGTCTTAGTTTTTAACAAAAAAAGCTTAAAAAGTTAAAAAATTAAAAAAAATTTTAAGTAAAAAAAGCTTATAGAATAAGGATATAAATAAACATATTTTTGGACAGCCGTACAATGTATTTGTGTTTTAAGCTAAGGGATATTATAAAAGAGTCAAAAAGTTTTTTTAAATAATTAAGACATTTATAAGGTAAAAGTTATAGTAAACTAAAGTTAACTTATTATTGAAGAAATAAAAAAATTTTTGTTTTGAAAGCAGGATTTATTGAGAGGACAGAAAAGCTCCCACAGTGGGAGGGGACCCAAGGGGGTTGCCCAAGAAATACATTTAAAAAATAAAGTTAGTGTAGCCAAAGTGTCCAGCATTTATAAAAGTCTATGGTAGTGTAACATCCTAAGCTCTCACATTCACCCACCATCACTCACAGAGTCACCCAGGTCAACTCCCAGTCTTGCAAACTGCATTCATGGTAAGTGCCTCATGTGGTCTACCCATTGTTATTCTTTATACTGTATTTTTACTGTATCTCTTTATGTTTAGATATACAAATGCTTACCATTGTGTTACTGTCGCCGACAGTATTCAGCACATCCATATGCTGTGCAGGTTTGCAGTCTAGGCTATACCGTACTGCTAAGGCGTGTAAGATGCTAGACCGCCTAGGTTTGCGTAAGTCACTCTATGACGTTCACACACTTACAACAATGAAATCACCTAAGAACACGTTTCTCAGAACATATACCCGTCATTAAGTGGCACATAACCTTATTGCAAATATAGCCACGTGGTGTCACATGGTGTTACAACCCCCGTGTGCCCCAGGAAGCCCTCCAAGGGTCGTGTTGGAATGCTGCTTGCTGTATTCATGAAACAAACAAAATTAAATTCTTTAGGTCTGAGCCGTAGCATTTTCGTTACTCTGCTTTTAACAAAGGAATTTTCAAATCTCAGAAATCACAATAAATCAGTCGGAACATTCTTGGATTAAAGAATAGCAGGACTAATGAACATATTTGCTATGCATTCCAATCCCATTAATCCTGATGTTCGTTCTGGATTAACATATGGCACGCCTTTCTTTAGATTTTAAGTTTAGCATTAACTGCTTTCCTACCAAGGCAGGAAACTGTGACCGGATCAGGCATCGCCATGGCAGGCCTCCTAATTCATGCCTAAGAGGCAGGAGGCAGCGGCCCTGCCGTGGAGCAGGTTTTAAGCCTGGCTGTTTGCATCTCGCTGCTTGAAGGGCAGTCATTCCAGCAGTGGTTGGTTCTCAAACCCTATGACTGGGAACTCGCTTACGCTCTTCAAGACTGCAGATAACTCCAAGGAGCTTTTCTTCATGTGGGTTGTCTCTGTCAATCTTTACCAATTAGAAATGGAAACACAGAACAACTTGAAATGATTCTGTACTAATTCACTTAAAAATAACAGTAATGAACACATTTTGTGTTAACATAAGTAATGCATGTGTGAAAAGTAACTATTTTCCAAAACAGAAAAATGCATTGAGAAGCGTGTGTTACATATTTACAAATCTGTTTCATCCAAGGCTGATGGATACTGACAGTTGCCTCTGCATCCGGTCAGTTGTGATGTGTTGGTTTTAGTTGAAATAGATAAAGAAAATATGGCCTCCCAGGTGTGTACCTAGAAAAGGAAGAATACCTTCGTGGCCTTTTCGGATAACTGTAGGTATACTTTTTGGATGCCACACCAGATCATACTGTAAGATCTGACATTGTATCAAGGAGCCCTTTGCACTCTGCAATACACGGGTCTGTTTTCAATCAGCCTTTTACCCATGCGTGATTCTGTTTTACTGAATTATGCAGCTCTTCCAGATGTTGGTACATTTCATCACATATTTTAAAAATATCACATTTATTAATACCACCCACAGTGTCATCAGAAAACAAGTTTTAGGGAGCTGTGGAGATCTGAGCGATGACTGTAAGTTTTCCAAAAGTCTAATTTTTTTTTCCTCAAAAGCTCATATTTTATCATTGGCAAGAAATATTGTTAGTTGATTCTGGATTCTGTTCCTTTCATTCTAGAGTTACATTCCTAAATTACAAATCCCGAGCATGCCTCTTGGCTGTCCCTCCCTCCTCTCAAAAGTCAAGTGCAAAGCCGGGCTCGGTGGCTCAGCCTGTAATCCCGCGCCTTTGGAAGGCTGAAGTGAGTGGATTGCCTGAGCCCGCGGGTTCGAGACCCGCCTGGGCAGGCGAGACCTCATCTCTACAATCAATCAAAAAATTAGCCGGGTGTGGTAGCGCGCGCCTGTAATTCTGGCTACTCGGAAGGCTGAGCGGAAGGATCGCCGGAGCCCAGCAGGTCGAGGCGACAGAGTGAGACTCCAACTGGAAAAAAAAAAAAAATCAAGTGCAGCCACAAGGACTTGGATAACTTTGATCCCAGTCCCCAGCACTTAGTTGCCAGGCCTTTTTCAAACCTCTAAATTATTTTTTTATTAAGTGAAAACAACACAAATTGATTGTCTTACGGTTCTGGAGAGTGGAGAGTTCGAGATGGGGAGAATCTCTTCTTACCTTCTTCTGCTCCTCGAGGGCGGCTGCCTGCCTTCTCTGGGTCTTGGTCCCCTCTCACGTTCACGGTCCCCTTTCACGTTCACGGCCAGCAAGGTTGATGGAGCCATTCCCGCATGGTGTCCATCTGACGCTGGCATGTCTGCTCCCTCTTCTCTCCGATAAGGACCCTCAGGATCATGCCGGGTCCCCGCGGGAGTCACCCTCTCGCGAGGTTGGCTGATCATACCTTCTGCAACCTGAACTCCCCTGACCACATAAGTGACACACTCACAGGTGTCTGGAATCAGGATGCAGACCTCCCTGGGGGCCGTGATTGTCTGCCACACTCAAGTCTCTGTGTTTTCACAGCCAGTTCCTGGTCTCTGGACACTGCTTGCCCCTTCTGTGTGTGGTGAGCGTGTCCCCGAAGCGTCAACTCGGGGCAGAAGCCTCTCCTGGAGTCTCTGACCACTTCCTGTTCCACCAGGTCAGAGGCTGGCGTGTGGACCGCCACCCTGGCACCTACCCGCAGTGGGCACCCGGATGCCATGTCCCTGATGGACCGTGGGCCTGAGCGTACCGACCTCTGTTTCTCTGGTGCTCTCATGACACGTGAGAGAGGACGAAGAAATAGCAGTGTGCTGACAGGGACATTTGACCATTGGGCTGTGTTTTAAACACCATCCAATTAATGTTTGCTTTCTTTGGTGTGCTAATGGCATGACAGTTTGGTAGAACAGTTATTCTTAGAAGCTTGTTGCCAAAATACTTAGAGGTCAGATGCCATGATGACGATAGCGCACTTATCACATGGCCACATGGCTCATGGGAAAAGTGTATTTCTCTAAAGAAAGAGAAAGCAAGTGTGACAAGATGCTGAATATGGGTAAGGGTAGATGAGCAGGTGTTCCTGTGGATTTTGAGGGTTGGGATTTTCGACAGAGAGAGTGAAAAGGGATGCAGTGTCAGTGTAGATTGAGCGTGCGGAAGACATCAGTGGGGGTGAGAATAAGATTCAACTGCGGGAAAGCTGGCTTGCTGCTGTGACGTTCTCAGACTCTAGCTGTTGATCGGCGACTTTCGTCATTTCTGGCGTAATGATAATCCTCTCTGGGTTCACATTAGGCGCCAGTCATATGCAGGCAGCTTCATCAAACCTCTCCACTCCTGGGTGAGAGCAGGAACCTGTGAGTGTAAAAGGTGAGATTTGGAAGCAAAGGGCTTTAAATGCCACGCATCTGAGAGCCTCTTCCCAGCCGGGACTCTGGATGCAGTCACACCCCGCTCACTGTCACTGGCCAGCACCCTTCAATTCCTATCTGGGTCCACAGGCTGCCCCCAGGCTCCCAGGTTCTGCGTTTAGGATGGTGTTGGGTCAGTGTTGGGTTGGGAGACTGCTGGTGTCATGGGCAGGTGTTTGCTCCATGCACGTGTGCCAGCTAACACCTGGAAGAGCACTCCATCACCTGACAGCCGCCCAGACGAGTTGGAGTCCAGGCGTTTCCTGAAGACACCAGCTGAGGTCTTCTGTGGGAATCCTCTGGTCTGGTTGTCCATCTTCTCCCTGAATTTCCTGAGGACCCCCTGGTGCTCAATTCATCCCCGTGGTGGAACCCATTGCTTCCTGCCATTCACCCCATCTTTAGTTGGTGTTTTAGTGGGGTGTTCTCCCAGGCCTCCTTGTACCAGCCTCAGAATTGGGGCTCCTGGGGTCCCAGCGGAATGCATCTGATGGCTCTTTTTTGCCTTTTAGGAACCTGAAGCTCCTCTTGGAGACTCCCTGAGACATCTTTGCTCCAGAATCCCGGCAGTCCTTGGGTGAGAAAGTGCTACACTCTCACATCGAGTTCCAGGTACAGTCTGTCCGGCTTGCCCTGTGGCATGAGGGTTTTCTCTTCTGTGCAGTGTGTTATTTATTTGGACCTTTTGTTCTCCAGTTAAGTCGGCGATTGACATTTTTTTTTGAGTCGGAATCTCACTTCGTCAGCCAGGCTGGAGTGCAGTGGCACGCTCATGGCCACCGCAGCTTCGACCTGCTGGGCTCAGGTGATCCTTCTGCCGGCTTCCAAGTAGCTGGAATCACAGGCACACACCACGACGCCCAGCTAATTTTTTGATTGTAGGGACGAAATCTCGCCAAATTGCCCAGGCTGGTCTCAAACCTGTGGGCTCAGGCAGTCCTTTCTTCTCTGCCTTCCAAAGTGCTGGGATTACAGGCATGAGCCACCATGCCTGGCCGGCGGTTGAATTTTTAAGTTAACTGTCAACTATAACCCTATGTCACCTTTCTAAAATTCCTAACTCCTATATTTTTTTAGAATCATCTAGCCAGCTATTCGGGCCCCCCTGACTCAGCAGAAAATAGGTTTGTCTTTTCACTCTAGTGTGCTGCTTAAATTCCATCATTTCCTTCCAACAGAACTCTGGCTATCCTACTGCTGGCAGGGCCATCTTCCCTGAGGCCTGATCACCAGGGCATGCTGTGAGAAGGGATCAGCCTGAAGCTGTCCCGTGTCATTCCTGGTGTAGACGCTGGGTACTGTGTCATCGTGGGCGCTGGCAGGCAGTGCCTTCACCTCCGGGGACTTTTGTTTCTCAAGTCAAGGGCTGGTTCCCACTTCCTTCCTGTCCTAGAACTCCTCATCGTGCTCTTATTTCTCTCACTCTTCTTCTTGCTTCAACTTCTTACCATTTTACTTGAAATTCTACCATAGCTTGTGCTTGGGTTTAGATGCCGAACCCGTCTGCTGGAGGGCAGTGCATTCCAGGTTGTTCTGAGGGGGTTGAAGAGCCAGGTGGGGGACGGTCAAGGCTCACCAGTGAGACTGTCGTCCACCTCTCTTCAAATAAGAGTGACTGTGACTCTTATTTGATTCTTATATACAACGTCACTGGGGAAAAAGGCTTCCACCGTGAAAATACTTTATTGCTCTAGTACTTTTTCCACTAAACTAAAAATGTTTACTGAGTATGGAGACTTCATCATTCTCGTTGCCATTTTATTTGTCATAGACAACAGAAGTACAGTTCTTTTTTTTCTGTTGAGAGAGAGAGTGTGTGTGTGAGTTTGTGCCTGTGTTTGTATGGTGAACCTCACCTGACTCTCCCCTCCCTTTCACATTCTTGCAGACCTCTGAGGCCATTAGTATTCTGAATCCCGAGCCTATAGCTATATTAAGAATGTACACATAATCAGGATCAGCCGCCAACCCTGAGTTCTTCATCAGAAGGACTTTGCAGCGATACAGCCAGCGACCTTTGCCACGTGTAAGCAACTCTGAGCGGCCCGCCTTGAAGTGGGAATTAAGATGGAGGGAGGAGGGGCAGCCCGGAAGCTCCTGGTTCCCAGGGAGGATTAGGCACCTTGTTTATGAGGCTGTTGCAACCTTGTAAACGTCAGGAACAGAGGTGCAGAATCACCAGGTGCACCTTCCCACAGACAGCGGGTAGAATTAGCTGCGGGCCAGCAGGGAAGTGGGAGGCCCTTCTGCACAGGCCAGGAGCCATTGCAAATGTGCCGGGTGTGTGATCCTTCTCGATTTAGGTGCTTAATTAGCACAATTGCTTAAATTAGAGCAAGTTCATTCTGCATTCACCTTCTTCTGCTGTCTTCACAGGCTATTTTAGAACAGCTTCCTGTGTTACCTAACACGGGGCTGAGTGTGGACCTCTGGGTGCGTAGCTTAAGTCAGACTGATCCGTTTCTTGGGCCAGGCAGGGCCGTGTGGAGGTGAGCGGGGAAGCCCTCGGGTGGTGCTGGGGCAAGGTCCGAACTATGTCTGATTTCTGGGAAGTCACAGCCTACTGGGCATTGCTGTGACCTCACCCCTTCTTGGGAGGGGGGAGAGTATCAGGCAGGTGTCAGAGGGTCACTGAGGTGGTCACATAGGTGGTGCATCTCCTAGAGCAGGGGCCCCCAACCCCTGGACCACAGGCTGGTACCAGTTCGTGGCCTGTTCGGAACCGGCCACACAGCAGGAGGTGAGCGGCAAGTGAGCCAAGCTTCATCTGTATTTACAGCCGCTACCCATTGCTTGCATTACCGCCTGAGCTCCGCCTTCTGTCAGATCAGAGGTGGCATTAGATTGTCATAGGAGCGCAAACTCTATTGTGAACTGCTCACGAGAGGGATCTAGCTTGCGCACTCCTTATGAGAATCGAATGCCTGATCATCTGCGGTGGAGCTGAGGCAGTGATGCTAGCTCTGGGGAGCGGCTGCAAATACAGATTAACATGAGCAGAGAGGTTGGACTGCACATTCTCCCCCGCTCCACCCCACCATCCGTGGAAAAATTGTCTTCCACAAGCCGGGCTCGGTGGCTCAGCCTGTAATCCTGCGCCTTTGGGAGGCTGAGGTGAGTGGATTGCCTGAGCCTGCGGGTTCGAGACCTGCCTGGGCAGTGAGACCTCATCTCTACAATAAATCAAAAAATCAGCTGGGCGTGGTAGCGCATGCCTGTAATTCCGGCTACTTGGAAGGCTGAGGTGGAAGGATCGCTGGAGCCCAGCAGGTCGGGGCTGCAGTGGCCGGGAGCGGCCACTGCACTCCAGTCTGGACGACAGAGTGAGACTCCAACTCAAAAAAAAAAAAAATTGTCTTCCACAGTGCTGGTCCCTGATACCAAAAAGGTTGGGGACTGCTGTCCTCGAGGCCTTTTGGCCCTTTGTTTGATAGTTTGTTGGTTTATCAGTCTTCTCCCACCATGAGGGCAAGGAGCATCCTCTCTTCTGTTTCTCGCTGCTGCCTCAGCACCTGGAAGGACAGAGGACAAACAGTAGGTGCATAATAGGTGTTTACCGCTTGGGTGGGTGGTTGTGAACTGTTGCTTGCTTTCTTCTTCCCTTCCAGGCCATGTGCCCTGAGGACAGGGGCAGTGTACGGTTCATCTTGTAACTCCTGCAACTTCTAGAGCAGTGGCCCAGGGTAGACACACAATCTTTGAAAAATGGAGTGACAGAGGCTTAAATTATGCCATTTTTTTCCAGAAGGAGGAGATTACTTTCAAGTCATTCAGGCCTAATCAAGAAAGAATAGTTTCAGGTAAAGTAAGGGTTATCCTAACCACTGAAGCAGAGTATTAAAGAAAGATGGGGGCTCTGGTTCTTATTGCCTCAAGGATTTAACGAGAAAATGAAACCAAACTCACTTGTCATCACATTAGGAGCGTTCAGACCATATATTAGTCACCTATTGCCAAGGCTTAAGACAACACACATCTTATTTTGTCAAAGTTCCTGTGGATCAGGAGTTATAGCATGGCTTAGCTAAGGCCTGTGCTTAGGGCTTTACAAGGCTGCAGTCGGAGTGCTGACCGGTGCTTGGTTCTCACCTGGAGGCTCGACTGGGGAAGTATCTTCTTCCAAGCTCCCTCAGGTTGTCGGCCAAATCTATCTCCTGTGGTTGTAGAACTGGGGGTCTTGGCCTCTAGCTGACCTACCTGGAGACTGTCCTCCACACCCAGAGGCCACTTGTAGCTCCTAGAGGCCGCCTACAATTCCCAGATGCTGCCTGTGGCTCCCAGAGGCCACCGGCAGCTCCCAGAGGCCACCCACAGCTCCCAGAGGCTGTCCATAGCTCCGAGAGGATGCCTGCAGCTTCCAGACATTTCCAGAGGCTGCCCACAGCTCCTAGGGGTCGGCTGTAGCTCCCAGGGATTCCCAGAGGCCACCCATAGCTCCCAGAGGCCACCTATAGCTCCCAGAGGCCGCCCGTAGTTCTCAGAGGCCGCCTACAACTTCCAGAGACCACCCTCAGCTCTCAGAGGCTGCCTACAGCTGTTTGCCACGCGGACTCGTCCAGCACAAATCACCTTATTTTGTTCTTGAAAGGTGGGCTTGAGAGTGGTTTCCACCTGCTGTCTATTTTCATAAGAAATGATTTTGCCGCTTTCTTTTTTCCATAGTGGCCCACTCTTTTAGATCTACTGGAGGGTCACAGCTCCACGGCCCTTTTACCCTCACAGCTGACACGGATGCCCTGTGCTGTCACCCACCCTTCTGGCTAGCGGGTGGCCCAAGTGCTCAGTCCTAGTTAGGAGCATGATGGGATGAGGGGCTTTCTGTGACCTGCCTTGGAGTTTATCTGTGGTTTTGTCACATTGTTTGTATAGGAAAATGTGGTCCCGGATCTCAAATGACTGGCTTATCGGTGAACTTCCATCAGGAGAGAGGTCTTGACTGTGGGTGCCTCTGTGGCAGCAGGATCTGTATTTTGGGGGGCTTAAGTCAAAATTTCTATGTTTAGCCTTTAAGAACTCCTTAGAAAAATAGTCAGCGTCATCTGTGCTGTCTCTCTCCTCATTCTCTGAAGATGTGGCGTCTAATTATCATACAGCAGTGACCCAAGAAGGGGGAGTTTTGATTATTCATGGTCTGGAACATTGAGTTGAATGTTGGCATATTGAGAGGTTCTGGGGTCAAGCTTGGGCGGCATTCGGAGTGACCGTCTGTGGTCATGGGCTCCCAAGTCTCCCATGAAAGTAAGGCAGATGGTGTGCCTATGACAAAGAATAGCACAGGGCCCATGTGACTTGCTAAGAGCCCCTTCCCACTCAGCCCCCTCAGGCAGTAGGAAGTAATTTCATCGGTCCAGCATCCTGGGCTGCCTTGTCCATCTCCGGCCCCGGGTGCTGGCCTCTCTAGGGCTTTGATCATTCAAGCAAGCATGCTGGCGACTGGCCATTCACTTCTGGTTACCTCGAAAGGATTTCAGGCAAATCAAATCACATTCTTCTCTCTGATAGAGGCTGTTCTGTGAGCATCTACCAGGGCGTCCGCTCTAGGTACGTTATGTAACGAGAAAATCTCATGGTTGGCAAGGTATGGCGGGCCATTGATGACTGAATACAGGCAA